ATACACATATGAGAATGTCCTTCATTCGATGGACATACCCATAACCTGATTTTCCGACGAATGCGTTCGATGTATGCGGAGAACATGTGAACGAACAATTCCGTAGTACAAATTTTTTCTCACGCATCGGATACGAGAAATAAACATTTTTGAATTCGATTTCGCCGATGATCTGATCAGCTGACTATTGAATTACAACAAACAAAAACAGAGATTCTTCTTGAAGGAGACTTGTCTGAGAGTATACCAATAACATCTTACCAATGAAATACCTTCATTCATGTGAATGAATGGTTGTCGTTTAATCAACGAGAAAATTCGTAGAGCTGCTGACCGAGCTTTTGAATATTNCATTGAAATGCTTTGACCAACTGCTGTAGCAGCAAAAGTGATAACAATAAATATTCTAAAGCAAGACACATTTGCAAAAATTCGGTTCAACTATTTCTCCATACCGAAAAACCTGATCGACCGACATTTCATTGTTTTCAACTAGTTTTGAACCGTAGGTAAACGTTGTGATATGCAAGAAGAAAATCAAAGAATTCGATATACCATAACCGATAGCTCGCATATGAATTTTTGGAAGAAAGGCGCTAAAAACAAAAATAAGCGATTTGCCGTACGCCGTAGTTGCTTACTAGAAGCTTTTATTAAATGCATTTTCAAATTTATCAATAAAATACTCTTCACAACCGAGTGCTGCCACTGTGCGTATCTTGTTAAATACCTCAGCGGCACACTAAACATATTGAAGTAAATGTATAAATATGCAAAGCAAAGAGAATGATTATGAACTTGTGATCCTTGATCAGCCCAACTGCTTGAGGATTTAGTTTTGCCCGACTTCGACTGACTTTGTCCTTGTAAAAGACCGGAAAATGCCATTAAAGGAGCAAAACAAAACATAACACAAGATAATTTCCATCCAGCTTGAAATGAAATAACAATAGCCGTCAAAAGTGCACCAAATGCTTGTAAAGTCACTCCTAAAACAACACATTCATCATGCAACTTCAGTAAGTAAACGTGCAGTATCTACCTATTCGAATGCCTGATAGACCCTATAAAAGAAAGGTTTCATAGGTGCATTTATTTGTCTTATATTATATTCTTCACCTTCAATGCTGATGCATCTGCAGAGAGTCGAGTAGTTAGAGCACTAACTGAATTTTTTTCCGTGTCGAAAAAACCGATTTCTTGTCGAAGCATTGCAGAAAATGCCATGAGACGCATACGTTTAGTCAAACGTTCTCCTGAGACAGCAAACGACCATATCATAGTCCAGATAAAAAATCCATCGACTAGGTGTAGGAAGAAGATGATCAAAGCGAGATTACGTGTTTCACGAATCTGATTCTGAACATCAGTATTGGCATATTGATGGTAGACAGATGAAAATATGACACCCACTATTGGTTCGGCTGCGCCAGCCATCGTAGCGGTAATTGTACCAATAGCAATGAATGGCCATTCGGGCCGATTGAAACCTAGTAGACGAAGAATTAATGACCGATGGGTACAGCAAAATCTCCTTTTGGTTTCCTGCTTCACAGTGAATTGTTCTTGGAGATTTACTGAACTTGCTGATGATGTCGTTCTTGCCAAAGATTCACATAAAGCTGCAAAATAGTTTTAACTTCCAATAATTTTCTTCAGAGGGTCTGCTGTCCTTACACTTATTATCGGTTGACTCGTTCTGTTCGGACGTTTTATGCTCATCAGAAACTTCTATATGTGAATCTAGTTTCTGTGCTTTGACCAGTTCGAAATAGTGACTTTTATTACGCATAAGTTGGTCATGTGTGCCGATTTCGACGATACCTTCATGATGTTTCATTGTTATGATTAGATCAGCATTTCGAATAGTAGAAAGACGATGTGCGATAACGATCGTAGTACGACCGAGTTTAGCTTGATTGAGAGCTTGCTGAACGAGTCGTTCACTGGCATTGTCTATCAACATTTACAAGCTATTCAGTCGGCAGAAGCCTATTCTAACTTACCTAATGCTGATGTTGCTTCATCAAGAAGTAGAATTTTCGGGTTGCCAATCAATGCTCGCCCAATGGCTAGACGCTGTCGTTCACCACCCGATAATTTCTCATCAACGATAGTGTTATAGTTCTATTCATGAATGTAGAATATTTGTAAAAAATGCTGTGTCCCTAGTGGGTATAGATGATCGACAAGCAGAACATCAGAAACGTTTAAAGGATTGATAGCCCTCTTAACAGCAGATGGTAAAACCCTCATGCAGCACACATGACCCGTACGTGTCTGACAAAACCCTTTTATCCATATGTGTGGATATGATGAGAATTATAAAATACCGTTGGTATAGCATTCAGCAGTAGTTTTTTGGTATCATATGGAACTCAAATATGGTTTATTCGTTTTTGAAAGTGCAACGAATAATGAACCCTTTTAGGATAGTTTGTACATTAATACCCCCTCGGAAACGGTAGAAAAACGGGTTTTAGAACGAAAATAAGTTTCCATAAGGGGAGACCCCCCTTTCCCAAGCAAAAAAAATTTTTTTTTAGATTTTTTTTTTCATATAAAGATACATCAAGGTCCCCTCTATATATGCTATAAAAATTAGAAGCATCCAAGGTCGAGAAGTCTCTGGAAAACCAGGTCTTCAGAGACATTTTTGGACGAAAACATTTTTTTTGTAAATTTTTTAAAACATTAATTTTTAACGAAGTTTCATTATAAATTCGTCATCACATGTATTGGTTATAACCATTTCGGCTCATTCAGCCCTAAAAAAGTCAATTTTGCTCACCGTAAGTCACCATCTTGAGGGTGAGGGTGGGTGAGGGTATATATGTATAAGTAAAACTAAATCTATTTCTATTCCTATACTCACAGGGGTGTGGGTGTATGTATCCATAACTAAAACTAAAACTAAATCTATTTCTATTCCTATACTCACAGGGGTGTGAGGGTATATATGTACAAGTAACGCTCGTCGAGGCCAACTCGCTTAACCCTCGACTGATGCCTTTTTCATTCTACTCATTTCAAACAATGTATGAACCCATCCATCTCGCAGTCGGTCGTCGGCGTCCCTGCAGTCCGCCA